TCCGAAAAGGGGCCCAAAACAAGCATTTTTCTAGTTTCAGGATCATAACTTGTGTATAAGTATTTCGATTGCTCTGAAATGGTACCACAATGTTTAATAACACAAGTAGAAGGTTGGGGTTTATTTTAGGGGTTATGGGGGCCAACAGTTTAGGAACTAAGGGCCAAAAAGGGGCCAAAAACAAGCACTTTTCTAGTTTCCAGACAATAATGTGTGTAAGTGTATGGATCTCAGACATTGTACCACAAGGTTCCATATAACAAAGGGAAGGCTGGGATTGAGTTTGGGGTTAATTGCCCCAAACATGTAGGAATACGAGGCCAAAAACAAGCATTTTTCTAGCTTCCAGACAATAACTTGTGTGTAAGTGTATGGATCTCTCTGAAATTGTACTACAAGGTTCCATATAACAAAGGAAAGGCTGGGTTTGAGTTTTGGGGTTATTGCTCCAAGGGGGGTTTCAAAAATGTGTGTGGGGGGGGGGAGGGATATTTTTTACCCAATTTTTTTATGGAATTCATATTTTTATGCCCCCGCCGTAGCAGTGGGGGCATTAAGTACATATGTCCCAAAATTGGTTTTCCGTTCTCTAACTTGAGTTTGCCTCAACCAAATGTTATGAAACTTATACACAATGCTTATTACCACAAAACATTTTGGTGGCGTCACTTTAACCGTTCTAGAGTTATGCCCTTTATAAATGGAAAAATTGCAAATTTTTTAGTTTCAGTTCTCTAACTTAAGTTTGCCTCAACCAAATGTTATGAAACTTATACATAATGCTTATTACCACAAAACACGTCCCTTCAACCGTTCTAGAGTTATGCCCCTTTATATATGGAAAAATTGCAAAATTATTATTTTCTTCTAAATATCAAGAAATATTTAAAATTGGAGTTATCTTCCTTTGTCCATGATTATAGTTGAATCAACTACAATCAATGCTTCATACAATGCAATGTTTAATTTTGACTTCCACTGGTGAAACACAGATCAAGTTGAATTTGGGTAGTGTCACTTTAACCATTATTGAGTTATGCCCCTTTATAAATCGAAAGATTGCAAAATTTTTAGTTTCCATTCTGTAACTTAAGTTTGCCCAAACTAAACATTATGAAACCTATACACAATATTCATTACCACAAAATTAAGATCAAGTACAAATTTTTTGTTTCTGTTTTTAACTTTAGTTTGCCTCAACCAAATGTTATGAAACTTATACACAATGCTTATGACTACATAATACAGATTAAGTACAAATTTGGTCGCAACACTTTTACCATTCTTGAGTTATGTCCCTTTATAAACATGAAAATTGCTGAATTTTTCATTTCCGTTCTCTAACTTTAGTTTGTCTCAACAAAATGTTTTAAAACTTATACACAGCCGTTCTAGAGTTATGCGTGTTTACAAATAGAAAAATTGCTGAATTTTCAGTTCTCAGAGCGGGTTGTATCAAGCCAAATTTTTTTTAAACATGCAAACCGAGCAAGAATCTTTTTTTTCAGTCAATGCAAAGCAAGAATATTTTTTTCAACATTTGTAAAGACAAAGGAATAGGACATGAAGCCAGAATATTTTTTTTAGCATCTGAATAGGCCAGATTATTTAAAAAAAAAAAAAAACCCGGGCCCCCCAGAAAGTCAAATGGTCCATGCCTTAACACAAAATGTACATTGTTGTGTTACATGTGTATTTTCAGTGCCAGAAAACTTACGAATTTGAAATTAGACAAATTTGAAATTGTTCACCAGTTCTAATTGGATCTTTTGTGGGTTCGTGTTGCTTGTTGTTTACAAGGTAATTTTCGGTGTAGTGCTATGTGGGCTTTTGATTTCTTTTGTTATGCCCCCGCCGTAGCGAAGGGGGCATTAAGTTTTAACCTTGTCCGTCCGTCCGTACGTCACAAAGTCAGTTTCCCTTCTCTAACTTTAGTTTGCCTCAATCAAATGTTATAAAACTTATTACAATACTTATTACCACAAAACACAGATCAAGTCTGAATTTTGGTGGCGTCACTTAAATCATTGTAAAGTTATGCCCCTTTACAAATGGAAAAAATTGCTGAATTTTTGTTTTCTGTTCTCTAACTTTAATTTGCCTCAACCAAATGTTTTGAAACTTATACACAATGCTTATTACTACAAATTACAGATCAAGTTTGAATTTTGATGGTGTCACTTTACCTGTTCTAGAAATATGCCCTTTAATTTTACAAAAGGAAAAAAATGCTGTTTCTCAAACTTAAGTTTGCCTCAACCAAATGTTATGAAACTTATACACATTACTTATTACTACAAATTTGGGTAGCATCACTTTTACCGTTCTTCAGTTATGTCCCTTTATAACTTTATATGATATGCAAGGGGGGGCATCATCTGTGTCCCATCGAAACATTCCCCATTTATTTTGTTTTTTTTTCCACTTTTCCACTGTGTTACACGACCTTGTCATTTTTGTATTGCCCCTTAACAAAAAAATTTTGTGGTCGTATATTGGTATGACGTTGGCGTCGTCGTCTTCTGAAGACACATTGTTTTAGCACTCTAACTTTAGTTTAAGTGAATGGATCTCTATGAAATTTTACCATCAGGTTCAATACCACAAAAGGAAGGTTGGGATTGATTATGGGGGTTATGATACCAACAGTTAAGGAATTAGGGGCCAAAAATAAGCATTTTTGTAACTTCCAGACATAACTTGTGTGTTAGTGTATGTATCTCTCTGACATTGTGTCACAAGGTTCCATATCACAAAGGGAATGCTGGGATTGATTTTGGGGGTAATTGCCTCCAAATTTTAGGAATTAGGGGCCAAAAAAGGTGCAAAAAACAAGCATTTTTCTAGTTTCATGAAAATAACTTGTGTGAAGGTGTATGGATCTTTCTGAAATTGTACTACAAGGTTCCAAATCACAAAGGGAAAGCTGGAATTGAGTTTGGGGGTAATTCCCGGAAATGTTTAGGAATAAGGGGCCAAAAATAAGCATTTTCTAGTTTCCAGAGAATAACTTGTGTTCAAGTGTATGGATCTCTCTGAAATTGTACTGCAAGGTACCATACCACAAATGGAAGGTTGGGATTGATTTTGGGGGAAATTGCCTCAAAATTTTAGGAATTAGGGGCCAAAAAGGGGCAAAAAACAAGCATTTTTCTAGTTTCAGGACAATAACTTGTGTGTAAGTGTATGGATCTTTATGAAATTGTACTACAAGGTTCCATATCACAAAGGGAAAGCTTGGTTTGAGTTTGGGGGTAATTGTCTTAAACATTTAGGAATTTGGGGCCAAAAAACAAGCATTTTTCTAGTTTCCAGACAATAACTTGTGTTCAAGTGTATGGATCTCTCTGAAATTGTACTGCAAGGTACCATACCACAAAGGGAAGGCTAGGATTGAGTTTGGGGGTGATGAATCATAAGGGGGTTCAAAAAATTGGGGAGGGGATTTTTTTCCCTTTTTTTTTTTTTTAAATTTTCCATTTTAGATTGGTTATTTCTGATTTATATGTAAAAGCAAATAATATTGATATGGTTTGAATAGGTAAATTAAAAAAATTTAAGTTCTTAGACCACATTCATTCTGTGTCAAAAACCTATGTTGTGTCAAAAATTTAATCACAATCCAAATTCAGTGCTGTATCAAGCTTGAATGTTGTGTCCATACTTGCCCCAACTGTTCAGGGTTCGACCTCTGCGGTCGTATCAAGCTGAGCCCAGCGGAGCATTTTATTAAAGTTTCTATCAATATTTGTATATGTTTATAACAGACTGTTACTCTGCCTACCCATTGAATTTAGGTGTCAATCTTAATAACAATGTCTGAGCAAACAACCAAACCAAGTTTGCAAGCATGGCATATGAACTCTTGATTTGCATGCTATATTATTTCAACTCTAATAGGTGTTACTCTGAATTTTACAAGTTGGTATAATATCAATAAAATTATATGATGGTTCACTCGGCATTAAAAGCCACAATGAATCTAAAATTAAAACTATATGATGGTTCACTCTGCATTAAAAGCCACAATAAATCCATGATTTAAATATATATTAAAAGTTTAAAATTTGTATCCCCCTTTTTTTTACTAGTATGACACATAATGTACAACTAAAATGTACAATTTGTTTCAGAATTTTTTTGTTTACTGGAGCACATGTATATGTGAAACACCTGCAATTAAGCTGTGAAAGCAATTAATTAAGGGTTTGTATATTGAGACTTTCAAAAAGGGTAGGTACATGTTACTAAACATGCTATAGAAAATCAATAAGCACACATGTTTTCTATATTGACCTATTGAAATAAAATGAAAAAATATGAGTAACATGCATATACTAGTAATGGCAAAAAAGTTGTAAACAGTCCTGTTTAAACTAACTAAATTTTAGATATTTAATGTGGCTCTTTATTCCAGGCTTGTGACTGGCAAGTTGTACTGTATTCATAATAATAAAGCACCTTGGTTTTATTTAGAAATTAGAAATGGGGTATCTTTTATCAATGAAAATGATAATAGATGTAAATATTGGTCTGCTCTAGATGATGATTGTAAAGATAATTTTTAAAATAGATTTCCTGCATAATGAGGTTATTATTATTTAATCACAAAATTTGTAGGCAAATCTAAGAATACTATCACTATTGTGGGTGTTATGGTGCATGAAAATTGGTGAATACAGTATTACTTGGCTGCATTACCCACCTCCCTCCTCAATTTATTTTTCTTTTTCTTTCATTTTTTTTAAATTTTCTTTTCTTTTTTTTTTATTTTCTTTATTTCTTTTCTTTTCTTTTTTTTTTATTTTCTTTTCTTTTCTTTATTTTTCTTTCTTTTCTTTTCTTTATTTCTCTTTCTTTTCTTTTCTTTTTTTTTTAATTTTCTTTTCTTTTTTTTTCTTTTCATTTTGTTTTCCTTTTTATTTCTTTCCTTTTTTCTATTCATTACATGTATGTACACAAGTTTCAAGCACATGCATTATTTTTTTTCTTATATAAATATATATATATATACATGTATGTACAGTCTTCTTAAACTTGTAGAAGATTTTGAACAATTGTTTTTAGAATCAGAACTCAGTACTGATGCCCCAACGTTCCAGTAGTTGTTTTGTTTGTTGATGCAGTGCATTTTTTGTCTTCATTTGGTTGTATTTTCCAAGCATTTTAAATCCAACAATCATCTTGGCTCTCTCATACTGTTCAGTAAAACATTTTCTGTTGCAAGTCTTCAATATATTGTAAAACTTTTAACTTCTTCACTGGTTCCTAGAATTGTATCAACCAGTGTTGTTATTTTGTCTGGAAAAAAGGATTATTGATTTATAACATTAAAGAAGACTAATGATCAGACTCAATGATTTGTAGATCAAACAGAGGTTGTTTTTTTATATATTTTATTGTTTAATGTTGATCATCTGGATATGGAATCATTTATATTGGGATATTTTGACCAAAAGGCTAGTTTAGCTAGTGCATTCTCAGATAGTAGCCTGGGCCTGTATGCATAATTTATAAAGCTACTTAAGTTAAGATTTGTTCCGAATGGACAGATTTTTCTACATGTCCTACAATAAATTAGTACTAGGATTGGATTTCTTAACTTAAGTGGTTTATGCATACAGGCCCTTGAGACTCAATACCAATTTGACAAAAAAATGTTTTGGAGTAATGCTTCATTCCAAACCAATTTCACATGCAGCTGTGCATATATTTGTGTACATGTACTTTAATATAGGGCACACATGGGCACTCGACTAGGATGTAATTGGGCTTGCATGTATTTTCTTGCAATCTCTTGAAAAATCATACATAAACATTTAGAATTAGTAGAAATTAGTGCTTTTAAATTGTGGTTAAAAGTACCCCCATCTTTCCTTACAATACATAACACATTAATGGAACAGTAATTTTGAACACTGCTGAAGCATGTTTTGTTTGAAAACTAAAAACAGATATACCGGTATATCTACCTGTTTGCGTACATATGTTTATTATGGATTCAGTTTCTTCATGTTCCTGACAATATTTCAAGCCAAAAGGATCCCAAATCTTCATCTGCATAATAAAAAAAAACTTAAGTCAAAATTAAAATGTATGTGTGTTTCCAGTTACATTCTCAAAAAAATTCGTAAGGGTTCCGCGGAACCCAGTGTCTCGCCTACTTTTGCTGTTAATCACAGGCTCAACAAAAGAGAGGAAAAAAATTAATAAAAATATTCCTCTCTATACTATCTTTTGATTGTAAGTAGCTTCTGTCCAAGTTTGGTAAAAATCCAGGATAGTTTATGAATCTAATAAATGTTTTAAAAACTTAAACTGCAGACTGTATGTAATGTTAACTGGAAGAAAAACTAAGTCTATTTATAAGTAAAATACGGAAAAAATGGAACTAAATTTTAACAAAATTTCCTTTTAGATACTAGCTTTTAATCATAAACAAGCTTCTGTCCAAATTTGGTACAAATCCAGGATAGTTTAAGAAAGTTGTTAAAATTTTAAAAACTTTAACCAGAGTGAATGCAATGTTAACTGGCAGAAAAACTAAGTCCATTTATAAGTAAAATACGGCAAAAATGGAATTTTTATTTTACAAAATTTACTTCTGGATACTATCTTATGATCATAAACAAGCTTCTTTCCAAGTTTGGTAGAAATCCAGGATAGTTAAAGAAAGTTATTAAAATTTAAAAAGCTTGAACCACAGAGTGAATGTAATGTTTGCTGGCAGAAAAACTTAGTCCAATTATAAGTAAAATACAGAAAAAATGGATTTCTTTTTTTTTTACAAAATTTACTTTTGAATATTATCTTATGATCATAAATAAGCTTCTGTCCAAGTTTGGTAGAAATCCAGGATAGTTTAAGAAAGTTATTAAAATTTAAAAAAACTTTAACTACAGAGTGAATATTTGTGGACGACGGAATGTAGGATCGCTATGTCTTGCTTTTTCGACAAAAGTCAAAGGCTCGACAAAAATGAAGGCAATAGTATGTGATTTAAAAAGAATTTTAGATTCTGTTTGTTGTTAACATATAGGTCAATTTTTATGCCAGCACTGAAGCTGAGGGGGCATCAAGTGTTACCCTTGTCTGTTTGTATGTGCATCCCAAAAGTGGTAACCATTTTTATACGCCCGTCAATTTTTGACGGGACGTATTATGGTATACAAATGTCCGGTGTCCGTCCGTCCGTCCGTCTGTCTGTCCGGCGTAAACATGTCGCACCGTAACTTGAGAATGACATCCAAATTTCATGAAACTTAACATAGTTGTTTCTTATGATGGTCAAACGATCTGTATACTTTTTGGTGAAAATAAGATTAAAACTTTTTGAGGTACGGGACTTAGTAACTAAAACAGGTGTGTGTTTTTTTTCACATGTCGCGCCTTATCTCAAAAACAATTTATGATTATTGCTTAAAACTTTACACACTTCTTAGTTATATTGATCTTAAGATCTGTATACATTTTGGTGATGATTCAAAATTTTATTTTAGAGATATTGAGTATTTTGTTAAAAAAGGGGGAGGGGTTTTTCACATGTCGCGCCTTATCTCAAAAACAGTTTATGATTATTGCTTAAAACTTTACACACTTCTTAGTTAGTTATATTAACCTTAAGATCTGTATACTTTTTGGTGATGATTCAAAATTTTATTTTTGAGTTATTGAGTATTTTGTAACAAAATGGGGGTTTTTCACATGTCGCGCCATATCTCAAAAATGATTTATGATTATTGCTTAAAATTTTACACACTTCTTAGTTATATTAATCTAAAGATCTGCATACTTTTTGGTTTTGATTCAAAATTTTATTTTTGAGATATTGATTTTTTTTTTTTAAAAGTGGGGTTTTCACATGTCGCGCCGTATCTCAAAAACGATTTATGATTATTGCTTAAAATTTTACACACTTCTTAGTTATATTAATCTAAAGATCTGTATACTTTTTGGTTTTGATTAAAATTTTATTTTAGAGATACTGAGTTTTTAGTAAAAAAAAAGGGGGTTTTCGCATGTCACGCCATATGTCAGAAACTATTTATGCTTATTGCATAAAAATTCACACACAAGACGACGGGCGTGTCATGCGCTCATGGCTCAGCTGTTTATTAACTTTAGTTTGCCTCAACCAAATGTTTTGAAACTTATACACAATGCTAATTACCACAAAACATTGTTCAGCTTTGAATTTAAATGACGTCACTTTTACATGTAATATGGACACATTCTCCATTTATTTATCTTATTGCAAATTAGATCTATGAAAAAATAACAAGGATTTTATAAGATTTTTAAACATGGGTTTATAAAGCATATGTAATAAAATTATGAAAAGATAAGGGAGCTACCATTTGATTTTTATGGGAGGGGCTAGGATGAAAAATTTTGTCATGCATTTTTTTTTAGTTGTTATCTCTGTCCTGCCTTTTTATTTTTTACTCTATTCGGTCCTGCATTATTATTAAAGTTGTCGGGGCCATATAGTTTTACCTTTGTCCGTCATTCTGTCATTCCGTCATTTTGTCATTCTGTCATTCCCTCATTCCGACATTCCGCAACAAACCATTATACAGACTTTTTTTCTAAACGCCTTCAGATATTGGGCTGATTTTTGGTATGTGAGTTAACCATGATGAGTTACAGATCAAGTTAAGTTTAGTTCCGCTCTGCTAATTTTTGGTGAAATTATGGGCTTTGGACTTTGATAAATTGTTGAAAATCACAGTTATACGGACTTTTTTATTTCTAAATGCCTTCCGATATTGGGCTGATTTTTGGTATGTGAGTTAACCATAATGAGTTACAGATCAAGTTTAAGTTTAGTTCCACTATGCTAACTTTTGCTGAAATTATGGGCTTTGGACTTTGATAAATTGTTGAAAATCACAGTTATACAGACTTTTTTCTAAACGCCTTTAGATATTGGGCTGATTTTTGGTATGTGAGTTAACCATGTTGAGTTACAGATCAAGTTTATGTTTTGTTCCGATATGATGATTTTCATGTCGTTTCAACACATCTTCAGTACATCCACTTCCTGTTTGCTGATAGTTTGAAATTTAACTACTCATTGATCAAGGAAATTTTTCATCAAACTAGTATTGGTCTTGAGAGCTGGATACTATCCATACATGTTTGTGTCCACATGTGTTGTTGAAATTGCAGATTTTTCAATTGTTTGAGACGGGGTCATTCATGTCGTTCCGACACATCGTTTTTTATTAGTTTATCCTGACTTTTTTTACATAAATTGTCATCCTGCCTATTTTTTTGCCAAGTTGCTCATCCTACCTTTTTTTTTTACTCAAAACTCCTGTCCTTCCTTTTTTTTCAAATTTCATCCTAGCCCCCTCACCCTTAAAAATCAATTAGTAGCTCCCTAAGTAGGGGTAAGTGGGCAAAATTGTAATGGCACTTCATGGATAAAACAAGAGGATTCTGAATTTCTGACAAAAAGTTAAAAAAAAAAAAAGAGCAACCATCCTTAAGTATTAATGTGTTTACGACACTTGGACAAAGACCATAACCATATATCCCTTGTGGTGCAAAGTAGACAAAAAGAACTTCTGACCAATCTCTTAAAACTATCAAGCCTAATGCACATTATATTCCTCTCAATTTTTATTTTAAGATGAAAAAAAAATTTGTTTTCAACAGAGTATATAACTACTAATTTATGAGTATTAGACCACCAAGTTTTAGTCCCCATCCATGAAAACAGTCACTGTAATAACCTAAAAAGGAATTTAAATTGACACAAATTATATATATATATATATTTTTCGAAAGTGTTAAATTGTCAGCCAAAAAATTAATTTTCTGCCTTCAGATTTTGCATAGCATCAAAACCAGTTTAATATCTATAAAACCGGGAAAAAAAACATGTTTTGATTTTGTTTTAACATTAACTTTTTTCTCAATAATCTATAAGTTATCTCCCATTGAATGACACATTCTTGCTGTTTGTTGTACTAGCCTCCCCCTGAAGGTGAAATCTATCTCAGAATTTGCTTTTCAAATGATATATTATTTAATTCATGTTACTGGAAACCAAATATCAAACTGATAAAATAACTGTTTTTTGTCATATTTTCATAAAATTCTATGAAGGTTTGACATTTGACGAGTAATTGATAACTAATATTTTAACCTTAAAATTATCGTAGAGAAAACTTTGAAAAAAGTCCATTTATTGCATCTGTTGCAATGAAGGACTGATTTCCAAGTTAAATAAAAATTGATAATTCCCCTTCTCTGATTTTATATACAGCAATAATAACTAATTAACTCATTCCCTACACACATTTATTCCTTCAATTTGAATTTCAAAATTTTGCTGTGGATTCTTTTGATGTACAATAACTTCAAAGTTTGATAAAGTTAATTTTTGATGTTTGAAAACTTTTTAACCAAAATACTGAACCTAAATTTGGACGCCTTAAACAAAGTAATGTGAATAACTATGCCTGGCTTCTGCGACAAAATGTCACAGGCAAAATTCAAGTGCATATACATAATCTTTAATCGACAAGTTTATAAATCTATGCAATGGTTGTTACCTTAAAAGACAGCTCCAATGACAATTCTATACAATCCATACTGACCAGCAGTAATTAATGGTAGCCTGAAAGTAAAATGCTTAGTCAATCAAAATTATCAAAACAGAGGCTCTTAAGAGCCTGTGTCGCTCATCAGCATCTTCAACAATAACCACTTCATGGTAAAAATCATCACAAAAGGGTAATAACTCTATAAAGAGTAAACTGACGATTTCAGTCATGTTGACATATTTGTAGGTCTTGTCCTGTTGATAATTTTTGCTTTTTAATGTTTCTATCTACATTTGTATCCATTTTACTTTTTTCAAGATAATAGGCAAAAACTAAAAAAACGTGGTAAAAAAACGACATAAACTCTATTAACAGGTCAACTTAAGATTTAATCCAAGGCAGCCTTTTTGTAAATCTTGACCTGCTGATCAATGGTAAAAATCTACATTGAAGATCAATAACTCCAATAACTAGTCCTCAGAAGATTTCAGTCATTTGAACTTTGACTTTTGTGCATATCTTGTCTTGCTTTTTTTGTATTAAAATTTCTCTCCATCTATTTTTATTTTCAAAATAATGAAAAAAATGAAAAAAATTGGTAAAACTTTACATTTAAGGGCAATAACTCCTTTAAGAATGTCTGACAGTTTTGACGTAATTGTACAGCAGGTAGATCTCAACATTCTGAAAAATTTTTTCATTTTCGTGGATTGAGGAACAATTGTATTTTTGTGGGTTTTGCTACAGTTGGCATACAAGCCTATAGAAAATGTGTACTACATTAAACATTTATATATGTTGGTCACTTATATATCCATGAAAATTGGTATCTAAAGAATAATAAATCCAGAGTATATGGAAATAGGTTATAAAATTATGACATAAACTGTTAACACAGAGATAATTGTCTCGTCTATTTGTTATTTTGATAATGCAAATGTTGAAATTAAAATAGCAATACTTTAACATGTAAGTTATGCAAATATTCAAAGTCAATGAACCATGATATGACTGAAGGTACAGGGCTAAACAATCTCCATGGAAATGAGATGTGCCAATGTTAATACAACTGCAAACCAAATACCGTTGACTTTTCATAAGTCGTTCCCTTTAAACAAACCTAAACACAAACATCAACTTGTAAACTATGTAAAAGTTTCAAAGTCAATGAACCATAATTAGGGGGTGGGGTTATATAATCTCCATGGAAACGAAACTTGCAAATGCCAATACATTTCCATACCGAATATCATTGACTTAACATAAGTGGTTAATCTTAAACTGACCTAATCACAAACTATTACATGTAAACTAAGTAAAAGTTTCAAAGTCAATAGACCATGACTGAGGGGTAGGGACCAAATATTCTCCATGGAAATGAGATATGCCAATGCTTATACAACTGCATACCAAATATCAATGACCTACCACTAGTGGTTCCCCATAAACTGACCTAATCACAACTTAATACATGAAAACTAAGCAAAGGTTTCAAAGTCAATAGGCCATGAATGAGGGGCGGGGCCAAATAATCTCCATGGAAATGAGATAGCCAATGCTTATACAACTGCATACCAAATATCATTGACCTACCACTAGTGGTTTACCATGAACTAGACCTAATCACAAACTAATACATTGTTGATGCTGCCGCCACCAGAAACAGCACACCTATGTCTCGCATTTTGACTCCGTCAAGGCGAGACAAAAATGAGTAACAGAAGATGTGTTGTATACATCAATGTGACAACATCCCAACAACACAAAAATATGACATCCACAGAATTAATTAAAATCTTTAAAACATTTGGTCAAATTTTGGTACTGATATGAAAAAACAAACTTCTGACCTCTTGCATCTTCAAGGATAGAGCATATTTTATTTCCTATAAACTTATTTTATGATGAAAATAAAACTTGTTTAAATAGAGGAATTATATACCTACTTAAATATTAGACATATTATACTACCAAGTCTTACTCCCATCCATGAAAACACTGAAATCACCTAAAAAGGAATTAAAATTGACATAAATTATACATTTTACAAATCTTGTTGAAATTGCCAGCCTAATATTTTCAATGAGTAAACAGTCTTGTCGTTTGTTGTACTAGTCTCCCCTTGAAGGAAAAATTCTCTCTGAATTTTACTTTTTGTGATTTGAATGCTTTATTCATGTTCCTGGAAACCATATATTGAATTGATAAATTATTTTTTGTGTGTGTTGTAAGTGTGGAAAACAAGAAAACAGATGTTGCCTTCTGTACTTTTATCACATATTTTTATACGCCCGTTTACGGGACGTATTATGGTATACTGTTGTCCGTTCGTTCGTCTGTCCGTCTGTCCATCCGTCGTCAACATGTCGGACATTAACTCAAAAACGCTTTAACCAATTTGCATAAAACTTTGGTGAATTGTTTATATCTATTGACGTGAGCTCCCTTTCATTCTTTATAAATTTTAGATTTGACGTTTCCGAGTTATGGGGTTTTATTCATTAAAAAAAGGGGGATTTTCCAGTTTTCGGACAATAACTCAAGAATGCTTTCACCAACTTGCAAGAAATTTTGGTTAATTGTTTATATCTATTGACATGAGCTCCCTTTTGATTTTTATAAATTTTAGATTTTACGTTTCCAAGTTACGGGGTTTTATTCTTAAAAAAAAGGGGGATTTTCCAGTTTTCGGACAATAACTCAAAAATGCTTTCAGCAGTTCTCATGAAACTTTGATGAATTGTTGATATCTATTGATGTAAGCTCCCTTTAGAATTTTATAAATTTTAGATTTTACATTTCCGAGTTATGGGGTTTTATTCATTAAAAAAGGGGGGATTTTCCAGTTTTCAGACAATAACTCAAAAATGCTTTCAGCAATTCTTATGAAACTTTGGTGAATTGATTATATCTATTGATGTAAGATCCCTTTAGAATTTTATAAATTTTATTTGTTTATTATAAGTCTGACAACAGATTTACTGTAAAGTATTGCACAACAGCATAGTGTATTGCACAACAGCAAGAAATCTTTAATTGAATATAACTTCAATTCATATAACCAATTTCAAGTTCTTTGACTACATTTATTCAGAAACCTATAATATGTCAAATATTTAATTACAATCCAAATTCAGACCTGTATCAAGCTTGAATATTGTGTCCATTTTTGCCCCAACTGTTCAGGGTTGGACCCCTGCGGGCGTATCCAATTGCGCTTAGCGAAGTAGTTTATTAGAGAATATACAGAAATTGTATTGCCTAATTGTACTTACATTATTTCTTTAATGGCCACACATCAGACTTGGAAGATGATCAATGTAATAATCTTCCTTGGAGCTGCTGTCCTTGCTTCTTTATTTTTTCATGGCAGAGCCTCTGAGTTAGCAATGAAGATCTATGTTACCATCTTGCTTGGAACTGCTATCCCTGATGCTTTTTTTTTTTTCACTCTGCATGTAGATGGAAATCAGATAGTTATTGTATATATGTACCACTCAGAAATAACCTAAAAAGGAATTAAAATTGACAAAAATTATACATTTTACAAATCTTGTTGAAATTGCCAGCCTAATATTTTCAATGAGTAATCTCAAAATGAATGAAACGGTCTTGCCGTTTGTTGTACTATTCTCCCCTTGAAGGAAAAATTCTCTCTGAATTTTACTTTTTGTGATTTGAAAGCTTTATTCATGTTCCTGGAAACCATATATTGAATTGATAAATTATTTTTTGCGTGTGTTGGAAGTGTGGAAAATAAGAAAACTGATGTTGCCTTCTGTATTTTTATCACATATTTTTAGAGAATATACAGAAATTGTATTGCCTAATTGTACTTACATTATTTCTTTAATGGCCACACATCAGACTTGCAAGATTATCAATGTAATAATCTTCCTTGGAGCTGCTGTCCTTGCTTTTTTATTTTTTTCATGGCAGAGCCTCGGAGTTAGTAATGAAGATCTATGTTACCATCTTGCTTGGAACTGCTATCCCTGCATGCTGCTTTATTTTGTTTTTTTCACTGTGCATGTAGATTGAAATCAGATAGTTATTGTATATATGTACCACTCAGAAACGTGTCCATCCCCCCAAACGTGTCTGATTCCCCCAAATGTGTCCATATGACGTCAATGAACTGCAAAATATGACTTGTTGCTAAAGGGCATCAAAACGTGTTCTGTTTATGAACGCCCCAACATATCCAGTCTATATGGAACCAAAGGTTTCTTTTAAAAAGCCCAGAAACAACTTCTGCAGGAAGCCTGTCGTGCAATACCCTCATACATTATACAGATATTTAGGCATCACCGGAGTTTCTTAGTACAAAATAATTCACTAAGTAAACGATGATTTACACTGTACAAAACTAGTTCATTGCGTTTTCTGTGCAATTGTTTGCTCTAAATATGCTTGAAATATTTGCCACTGGCATTAAGCAATCAATGGTCAATAGTTAAATTAAGCTTGCAATAATGCTTAATATAAACAACGGGCATTGAACAAATTAATGCTAATAAATGACCACTGTATTAACAGTGAAGCACTGGGAAAACATGCAATATAAATTGTATGAGATTTCTTAATTATGAAGTACCTCCATCTATTATTGAAAACAATGACAATTCTATTGATAAAAAATTAATAAAACCGCTGTAAGTAAAAATAGCTTTTTATTTTGTCATCCTTTTTCTTACACTGTGTCTGTTTATTTGAAAGCAGAAGTCCCTGTGCACATTGTACCATATCTTGGATATTTGTTCATGCCGATTACTATATCTTTCCTCCAGATGTCCTTAGATAGCTGCTTAGATTTATTTTTAAAATCCAACCCAAACCCGACGTCTTCTATCGTGTCCCCCATCATTGTATTGCCGTAAACTTCACAGGAGACATATATAGTTTTGAGACATTTTGGCGCTTTAAACTGGACACGTTTTGGCGAATAACATTATTGGACACGTTTGGGGGAGTGAAATCAGTCACGTTTGGGCAATTTAAGATTCTAAGGCCACGTTTGGGCGAAATAGACACGTTTGGGGTAATCGGACATGTTTTGGGGGAATGGACATGTTTGGGAGTGTTATCATGATTTCTTCAACTACTCTTAAATATGTTCACCAAAGTTAAACTGAATCTTGAACAGTTTGTACATTTACAATTTAACTTTTTTAAATATTAATTTTGCACATATGCAGTTTTAGTTGTTAATTCTACAGGTCTTTGAAGCATTTCATATTAGTGTTGATATATCAAAGGACAGATGTGCATCTCGCATCATCCTTTGGGCTCTCAATTAATTCTCATCTGTGTTTTTGGACATTTAAGAAATTTTATTGTCTGGATTTATAAACCAAATTATTTTTATTCCCCCAAGTATTCTGTTGTCTGGTCACTATCTTCAGTTCCAACTTGTTTGGCTGCCATATATATAAAGCTATAGGGAGCCATGCTGTGTTCCGTTGAATTGAAAGGTGTGTCACGGTCTTTGAAGTTTTCTCCTTATGAATGGCTAATAAACTTTTAGCCACAAACGGTCAAAATTTTTACACAGATGAGATGACTCTCTCAAAAAAAAAAAAATAAAACTTTTTCGACAAATTGCACAGACTGTAAGCTTACATGATTTTACTTCTTTCAGTCTTTCTTACATCAGAGTACTAGAATGTCCTACCACAGTATAGGTTACCTATCGAAAAGTTCTATACTCTGGAGTCAATTCGGTAACATGAAAATAGATTATAACAACACTTTTTTATTAAAGAATGTATCATTAGAATATTAATTTGAAAGCTATAAATATTAAACCGAGTTGTAATTAAAAAACCAAGCAATTTTCCCAGGGGAAACTGATTTTATCATTACCTAACAAGGTTTAACCGAACTCATCTTCATCTTCTATGTACAATGGAACTATCTTCAAGCTGTACAACTGAAACTTCTCAGGCCTGCATTTGTAACAAAAACAAAAATTATAAATGAGTGATGTGTTGGATAACTTCTGGCACAAATAATTTACCGTTAATTCAGAAACACTTTTGCAAGGTTTTATTAATCTGAATAATGCGACAGGTTGAGTATTGCAATAATAAGAAAATCCAATTCTGATATCTGTACGAAGAATTTCCTGAAATTCAATAAAATAATCTTACTTTTAGTCCATTATGTAAAAATAGCAATAATAAATGCACACATGATGTACAGTAGTTGTTTATGTAATTCATACATGTTTCTCGTTTCTCGTTTTTACATAGATTAGACCGTTGGTTTTTCCCGTTTGAAAGGTTTTACACTAGTAATTTTTGGGGCCCTATATAGCTTGCTGTTTGGTGTGAGCCGATGCTCCGGGTTGAAGGCCGTACCTTGACCTATAATGGTTTACTTTGATAAATTGTTACTTGGATGGAGAGTTGTCTCATTGGCACTCATACCACATCTTCCTATACCTATACACAATAATTTGGTGGCTAACCAAAACAATCTGATGTATACATTTTGAACAGAAATGATTAAAATTCAACTGAATTTCAAACAATCTAAATTGAGTCATATTTTCCAAATTACTTTAAAAAAATCGACTAAATATGTAGATATCCAAATTGACAATCGGAAACTTTACTTTCGTTCAGGTGAGACTATTAGAGAAAGGGTTTCCAAATTGTCAATGTTAAGAGACTATTTGCTGTTATAATTAATTCAGAAATTAATGTGATGCATGTTTTAATTCAAATCCTAAATTGGAATACAAGTATACTTTTTTATTAAAATATATTTCATTAGAGTATAAATTTGAAAAAGAAATTTTGGACTAATTTGTAATAAATTTTCAAGCTGTTTCTCCAGGGAAAACTGATTTTATTACCTTACAATTTATTAACAGTTTAAGTACAATTGTAATGACAAAATACCTACATCATCATCTAGGCATCTAGGCATCTTCAATTTAATCGTCTCCAGGTCTAAAACTGTACTCTCTTCTTCTCTCTGGGCTGCCGTCTATCTGTAATACATATTCAAATTATTTTAATATCTATAGGACAACTATTAATAAATAAAAAAAAAATATACTTACTTTCCGATTCATACTTTACCTGTTCCCACGTAAATATCCTGGGGCTGGTATCTGAAACAAAAACAAAATAAGTTCAAAAATATTGAACCAAATATAAAACTTAAAAAATTTGCTACTTTAATTTTTTTTTCTTTCAAAATATCTATAAAGAAAAACTGGCATTAATGGCAGCCATCATCATTGGTCAATTGCTCTTTTTGACTATATATCATTCACTTATTATCATTTTAAATCTATATTTCAATCAATAATGAAGACGGTTTAATGATATAATCATTATTTCCGAAATTAATGTTCCTGTCAAATTATCAGAAGTTGGTGGCAAACCAAAACAATCTGATGTATACATTTTGAACAGAAATGATTAAAATTCAACTGAATTTCAAACAATCTAAATCAAGTCATATTTTCCAAATTACTTTTAAAAAATCGACTTAATATGTAGATATCTAAATTGACAATCGGATACTTTACTTTCGTTCAGGTGAGACTATTAGAGAAAGGGTTTCCAAATTGTCAATATTAAGAGAATATTTGCTGTTATAATTAATTCAGAAATTAATGTGATGCATGTTTTAATTCAAATCCTACATTGGAGTACAAATAAAAAAGAAGATGTGGTATGATTGCCAATGAGACAACTCTCCACAAGAGACCAAATGACACAGAAATTAACAACAATAGGTCACTGTACGGCCTTCAACAATGAGCAAAGCCCATACTGCACAGTCAGCTATAAAAGGCCGAGAAATGACAATGTAAAAACAATTCAAACATGAATACTAAGTATACTTTCTTATTAAAATATATTTCATTAGAGTATAAATTTGAAAAAGAAATTTTGGACTAATTTGTAATAAATTTTCAAGCTGTTTCTCCAGGGAAAACTGATTTTATTACCTTACAACTATTAACAGTCTAAGAACAATTGTAATGACAAAATACCTACATCATCATCTGGGCATCTACAACTAAATCATCGCCATGTCTAGGACTGTAATTTCGTCTTCTTCTCTCAGGGCTCCCGTCTATCTGTAATACATATTCAAATTATTTTAATATCTATCAGACAACTATTAATAAATAAAAAAAAAATATACTTACTTTCCGATGCATATGTTACCTGTCCTGATGTAAATATCCTGGGGCTGGTATCTGAAACAAAAACAAAATAAGTTCAAAAATATTGAACCAAATATAAAACTTAAAAAATTTGCTACTTTCATTTTTTTTTCATTCAAAATATCTATAAAGAAAAACTGGCATTAATGGCAGCCATCATCATTGCTCAATTGCTCTTTTTGACTATATATCATTAACTTATTTTCATTTTAAATCTATATTACAATCAGTAATGAAGACGGTTTAATGATATAATCATTATTTCCGAAATTAATGTTCCTGTCAAATTATCAGAAGATGGTGGCTAACCAAAACAATCTGATGTATACATTTTGAACAGAAATGATTAAAATTCAACTGAATTTCAAACAATCTAAATTGAGTCATATTTTCCAAATTACTTTAAAAAAATCGACTAAATATGTAGATATCCAAATTGACAATCGGAAACTTTACTTTCGTTCAGGTGAGACTATTAGAGAAAGGGTTTCCAAATTGTCAATGTTAAGAGACTATTTGCTGTTATAATTAATTCAGAAATTAATGTGATGCATGTTTTAATTCAAATCCTAAATTGGAATAGAAGTATACTTTTTTATTAAAATATATTTCATTAGAGTATAAATTTGAAAAAGAAATTTTGGACTAATTTGTAATAAATTTTCAAGCTGTTTCTCCAGGGAAAACTGATTTTATTACCTTACAATTTATTAACAGTTTAAGTACAATTGTAATGACAAAATACCTACATCATCATCTAGGCATCTAGGCATCTTCAATTTAATCGTCTCCAGGTCTAAAACTGTACTCTCTTCTTCTCTCTGGGCTGCCGTCTATCTGTAATACATATTCAAATTATTTTAATATCTATAGGACAACTATTAATAAATAAAAAAAAAATATACTTACTTTCCGATTCATACTTTACCTGTTCCCACGTAAATATCCTGGGGCTGGTATCTGAAACAAAAACAAAATAAGTTCAAAAATATTGAACCAAATATAAAACTTAAAAAATTTGCTACTTTAATTTTTTTTTCTTTCAAAATATCTATAAAGAAAAACTGGCATTAATGGCAGCCATCATCATTGGTCAATTGCTCTTTTTGACTATATATCATTCACTTATTATCATTTTAAATCTATATTTCAATCAATAATGAAGACGGTTTAATGATATAATCATTATTTCCGAAATTAATGTTCCTGTCAAATTATCAGAAGTTGGTGGCAAACCAAAACAATCTGATGTATACATTTTGAACAGAAATGATTAAAATTCAACTGAATTTCAAACAATCTAAATCAAGTCATATTTTCCAAATTACTTTTAAAAAATCGACTTAATATGTAGATATCTAAATTGACAATCGGATACTTTACTTTCGTTCAGGTGAGACTATTAGAGAAAGGGTTTCCAAATTGTCAATATTAAGAGAATATTTGCTGTTATAATTAATTCAGAAATTAATGTGATGCATGTTTTAATTCAAATCCTACATTGGAGTACAAATAAAAAAGAAGATGTGGTATGATTGCCAATGAGACAACTCTCCACAAGAGACCAAATGACACAGAAATTAACAACAATAGGTCACTGTACGGCCTTCAACAATGAGCAAAGCCCATACTGCACAGTCAGCTATAAAAGGCCGAGAAATGACAATGCAAAAACAATTCAAACATGAATACTAAGTATACTTTCTTATTAAAATATATTTCATTAGAGTATAAATTTGAAAAAGAAATTTTGGACTAATTTGTAATAAATTTTCAAGCTGTTTCTCCAGGGAAAACTGATTTTATTACCTTACAACTATTAACAGTCTAAGAACAATTGTAATGACAAAATACCTACATCATCATCTGGGCATCTACAACTAAATCATCGCCATGTCTAGGACTGTAATTTCGTCTTCTTCTCTCAGGGCTCCCGTCTATCTGTAATACATATTCAAATTATTTTAATATCTATCAGACAACTATTAATAAATAAAAAAAAAATATACTTACTTTCCGATGCATATGTTACCTGTCCTGATGTAAATATCCTGGGGCTGGTATCTGAAACAAAAACAAAATAAGTTCAAAAATATTGAACCAAATATAAAACTTAAAAAATTTGCTACTTTCATTTTTTTTTCATTCAAAATATCTATAAAGAAAAACTGGCATTAATGGCAGCCATCATCATTGCTCAATTGCTCTTTTTGACTATATATCATTCACTTATTTTCATTTTAAATCTATATTACAATCAGTAATGAAGACGGTTTAATGATATAATCATTATTTCCGAAATTAATGTGCGTGTCAAATTATCAGAAGTTGGTGGCTAACCAAAACAATCTGATGTATACATTTTGAACAGAAATGATTAAAATTCAACTGAATTTCAAACAATCTAAATCAAGTCATATTTTCCAAATTACTTTAAAAAAATCGACTTAATATGTAGATATCTAAATTGACAATCGGATACTTTACTTTCGTTCAGGTGAGACTATTAGAGAAAGGGTTTCCAAATTGTCAATGTTAAGAGAATATTTGCTGTTATAATTAATTCAGAAATTAATGTGATGCATGTTTTAATTCAAATCCTACATTGGAGTACAAATAAAAAAGATGTGGTATGATTGCCAATGAGACAACTCTCCACAAGAGACCAAATGACACAGAAATTAACAACAATAGGTCACCGTACGGCCTTCAACAATGAGCAAAGCCCATACTGCACAGTCAGCTATAAAAGGCCCAGAAATGACAATGTAAAAACAATTCAAACATGAATACTAAGTATGCTTTCTTATTAAAATATATTTCATTAGAGTATAAATTTGAAAAAGAAATTTTGGACTAATTTGTAATAAATTTTCAAGCTGTTTCTCCAGGGAAAACTGATTTTATTACCTTACAACTTATTAACAGTTTAAGTACAATTGTAATGACAAAATACCTACATCATCATCATCTAGGCATCTACAACTAAATCATCGCCATGTCTAGGACTGTAATTTCGTCTTCTTCTCTCAGGGCTCCCGTCTATCTGTAATACATATTCAAATTATTTTAATATCTATCAGACAACTATTAATAAATAAAAAAAAAATATACTTACTTTCCGATGCATATGTTACCTGTCCTGACGTAAATATCCTGGGGCTGGTATCTGAAACAAAAACAAAATAAGTTCAAAAATATTGAACCAAATATAAAACTTAAAAAATTTGCTACTTTAATTTTTTTTTCATTCAAAATATCTATAAAGAAAAACTGGCATTAATGGCAGCCATCATCATTGCTCAATTGCTCTTTTTGACTATATATCATTAACTTATTTTCATTTTAAATCTATATTTCAATCAGTAATGAATACGGTTTAATGATATAATCGTTATTTCCGAAATTAATGTGCGTGTCAAATTATCAGAAGTTGGTGGCTAACCAAAACAATCTGATGTATACATTTTGAACAGAAATGATTAAAATTCAACTGAATTTCAAACAATCTAAATCAAGTCATATTTTCCAAATTACTTTAAAAAAATCGACTTAATATGTAGATATCTAAATTGACAATCGGATACTTTACTTTCGTTCAGGTGAGACTATTAGAGAAAGGGTTTCCAAATTGTCAATGTTAAGAGAATATTTGCTGTTATAATTAATTCAGAAATTAATGTGATGCATGTTTTAATTCAAATCCTACATTGGAGTACAAATAAAAAAGAAGATGTGGTATGATTGCCAATGAGACAACTCTCCACAAGAGACCAAATGACACAGAAATTAACAACAATAGGTCACCGTACGGCCTTCAACAATGAGCAAAGCCCATACTGCACAGTCAGCTATAAAAGGCCCAGAAATGACAATGTAAAAACAATTCAAACATGAATACTAAGTATACTTTCTTATTAAAATATATTTCATTAGAGTATAAATTTGAAAAAGAAATTTTGGACTAATTTGTAATAAATTTTCAAGCTGTTTCTCCAGGGAAAACTGATTTTATTACCTTACAACTATTAACAGTCTAAGTACAATTGTAATGACAAAATACCTACATCATCATCTGGGCATCTACAACTAAATCATTGCCATGTCTAGGACTGTAATTTCGTCTTCTTCTCTCGGGGCTCCCGTCTATCTGTAATACATATTCAAATTATTTTAATATCTATCAGACAACTATTAATAAATAAAAAAAAAATATACTTACTTTCCGATGCATATGTTACCTGTCCTGACGTAAATATCCTGGGGCTGGTATCTGAAACAAAAACAAAATCAGTTCAAAAATATTGAACCAAATATAAAACTTAAAAAATTTGCTACTTTAATTTTTTTTTCATTCAAAATATCTATAAAGAAAAACTGGCATTAATGGCAGCCATCATCATTGCTCAATTGCTCTTTTTGACTATATATCATTAACTTATTTTCATTTTAAATCTATATTTCAATCAGTAATGAAGACGGTTTAATGATATAATCATTATTTCCGAAATTAATGTGCGTGTCAAATTATCAGAAGTTGGTGGCTAACCAAAACAATCTGATGTATACATTTTGAACAGAAATGATTAAAATTCATCTGAATTTCAAACAATCTAAATCAAGTCATATTTTCCAAATTACTTTTAAAAAATCGACTTAATATGTAGATATCTAAATTGACAATCGGATACTTTACTTTCATTCAGGTGAGACTATTAGAGAAAGGGTTTCCAAATTGTCAATATTAAGAGAATATTTGCTGTTATAATTAATTCAGAAATTAATGTGATGCATGTTTTAATTCAAATCCTACATTGGAGTACAAATAAAAAAGAAGATGTGGTATGATTGCCAATGAGACAACTCTCCACAAGAGACCAAATGACACAGAAATTAACAACAATAGGTCACCGTACGGCCTTCAACAATGAGCAAAGCCCATACTGCACAGTCAGCTATAAAAGGCCCAGAAATGACAATGTAAAAACAATTCAAACATGAATACTAAGTATACTTTCTTATTAAAATATATTTCATTAGAGTATAAATTTGAAAAAGAAATTTTGGACTAATTTGTAATAAATTTTCAAGCTGTTTCTCCAGGGAAAACTGATTTTACCTTACAACTATTAACAGTTTAAGTACAATTGTAATGACAAAATACCTACATCATCATCTGGGCATCTACAACTAAATCATCGCCATGTCTAGGACTGTAATTTCGTCTTCTTCTCTCAGGGCTCCCGTCTATCTGTAATACATATTCAAATTATTTTAATATCTATCAGACAACTATTAATAAATAAAAAAAAAATATACTTACTTTCCGATGCATATGTTACCTGTCCTGACGTAAATATCCTGGGGCTGGTATCTGAAACAAAAACAAAATAAGTTCAAAAATATTGAACCAAATATAAAACTTAAAAAATTTGCTACTTTAATTTTTTTTTCATTCAAAATATCTATAAAGAAAAACTGGCATTAATGGCAGCCATCATCATTGCTCAATTGCTCTTTTTGACTATATATCATTAACTTATTTTCATTTTAAATCTATATTTCAATCAGTAATGAATACGGTTTAATGATATAATCGTTATTTCCGAAATTAATGTGCGTGTCAAATTATCAGAAGTTGGTGGCTAACCAAAACAATCTGATGTATACATTTTGAACAGAAATGATTAAAATTCAACTGAATTTCAAACAATCTAAATCGAGTCATATTTTCCAAATTACTTTAAAAAATCGACCAAATATGTAGATATCTAAATTGACAATCGGAAACTTTACTTTCGTTCAGGTGAGACTATTAGAGAAAGGGTTTCCAAATTGTCAATGTTAAGAGAATATTTGCTGTTATAATTAATTCAGAAATTAATGTGATGCATGTTTTAATTCAAATCCTACATTGGAGTACAAATAAAATAGAAAATGTGGTATGATTGTCAATGAGACAACTCTCCACAAGAGACCAAATGACACAGAAATTAACAACAATAGGTCACCGTACGGCCTTCAACAATGAGCAAAGCCCATACTGCACAGTCAGCTATAAAAGGCCCAGAAATGACAATGTAAAAACAATTCAAACATGAATACTAAGTATACTTTCTTATTAAAATATATTTCATTAGAGTATAAATTTGAAAAAGAAATTTTGGACTAATTTGTAATAAATTTTCAAGCTGTTTCTCCAGGGAAAACTGATTTTATTACCTTACAACTATTAACAGTCTAAGTACAATTGTAATGACAAAATACCTACATCATCATCTGGGCATCTACAACTAAATCATCGCCATGTCTAGGACTGTAATTTCGTCTTCTTCTCTCGGGGCTCCCGTCTATCTGTAATACATATTCAAATTATTTTAATATCTATCAGACAACTATTAATAAATAAAAAAAAAATATACTTACTTTCCGATGCATATGTTACCTGTCCTGACGTAAATATCCTGGGGCTGGTATCTGAAACAAAAACAAAATAAGTTCAAAAATATTGAACCAAATATAAAACTTAAAAAATTTGCTACTTTAATTTTTTTTTCATTCAAAATATCTATAAAGAAAAACTGGCATTAATGGCAGCCATCATCATTGCTCAATTGCTCTTTTTGACTATATATCATTAACTTATTTTCATTTTAAATCTATATTTCAATCAGTAATGAATACGGTTTAATGATATAATCGTTATTTCCGAAATTAATGTGCGTGTCAAATTATCAGAAGTTGGTGGCTAACCAAAACAATCTGATGTATACATTTTGAACAGAAATGATTAAAATTCAACTGAATTTCAAACAATCTAAATCAAGTCATATTTTCCAAATTACTTTTAAAAAATCGACTTAATATGTAGATATCTAAATTGACAATCGGATACTTTACTTTCGTTCAGGTGAGACTATTAGAGAAAGGGTTTCCAAATTGTCAATATTAAGAGAATATTTGCTGTTATAATTAATTCAGAAATTAATGTGATGCATGTTTTAATTCAAATCCTACATTGGAGTACAAATAAAAAAGAAGATGTGGTATGATTGCCAATGAGA